AGAAGCACCCAGCTCTGCATGGCCCTCTTTTTGCTGGTTTTTTTTCCCTTGCTGTGCTTGTGTTCGTCAAATGCTCAAGGTATCTTTCCCAGCGGATCCTCCTGCCACTGCACCTACCTGCACCTGCACATTGAAGGTAAACATCGTATGTACTTTTTCACTCGGTTCCTACCTTGGCTGAGGTGGGTGCCTACCTGGTATGAGGAATGAGACAGACGGCAAGGACGATGGAGGAGGACCAAGAGGGAAAGAGCACCAGTGCACGGAACAAGGGTCCTTCGTTCCTTCCCTGCTGCATCTGCAGGTGACGAACCTTTTTCCTTCGAAGTTCAGTGCCCGAGTGCTGAGGTAATTAACACTGGAAGTAAGGCATCTTTCAGTGCTTTCCTATCACCATCTCGAGTTCTTGACAGTCATCTTCTGTTCCCGTCATTTTCTCGACATTTCTATCATATTCGCCCAGACCTACTGGCTTTTTGCCGCTGCACGCTCTATGCCCTTTTCGCTGCCTCTTTGATCATTTTGTTTCGTTTCGTTTCTTATTCCACTACCGGGCCAATATGATCGATCCCCTCCCAACGACCCTCCGATCCTTCATCGCGCATCGTCGCCCTATCTTCGTCACCTAAACACGAAAACAGGATATACCAACCGTCTTGACAATGCCAGCTCCTCAGTGGTCCCCCAATCTCTCTCTGGCTCTCGAGCCGTCGTCCATGCTAGACCTTCCGAGGGCCAATCACTCCCGCAGCTTCGAGACTGAATTCGGACCCTCTTCCGTCAGTCACCAGAGTCTTTTTGTGTAACACAGTGACCTCCCTGGTCAGTATCGAGCAGGTTTGCTTGTCATCTGTCGGCGGGGGAGAGCGACATCCACCAGCCACTCCTGCCATCTCTCAAACCCATCACGGCCGTTACGTCTTGTCTCTCGTCGCAAACAGCCTCGACGCCACCCACCAGAGGTCGATCCTGACAAGATGCGAGACGCATGACATGAGATAGCCTCAACTCAAAGAAAGACCTCAGGAGTCTTTGGTACCGATACCTACGTCGCATCATACCTCTTTTCTACCATGTCGCCAGGTATTGGGCACCGAACAAGCCTTTTCTTAAACGATTACGCACTCTATTCGCCGTGAAGCAACGCCATGCACGACATCTGGCGAGCCTTTCAGAGACGTTGAGAGTTGCACCCCCGGATTCAGGCACACTTCGGGCAGCTTGACCCAGGCATGAATTGTGCCAGTCCGCACCTAGTTTGATATGATGCCGCTGTGATCGGCCTCTTCACCCCGGCTCTCTCCACCATCACGGAAGCTTGGACTTAACGCCGTCAAATATTGACAGCAGCACCCTGTGCAACCTTTCTCGCTTGCATGCAACCGGGCTCGAGCGTCGTCTTCAACACTGGCTGTCACCTTTTCCACTGCCTCGTGCCTGTTGATCCCGCAGACACGACTCGCTTTGTCGTCAGAGCGCAAATTCCTGGCAGATAATTGGCGCATTGCATAGCCAGGGCAACACGACGAACGATTTCGAGGCCGACCTGGCAGCCGCGCTACTTCTGTTACCTGTAACCCTCTGAGGGCATCACCGAAAAGATCGCCGCCGCTAATGCGAACACGCAAAACTTGTCAACATCAGATGAGTGTCCTCATTGCAGCCACAATGACCGCAGGGTGCTGCATCGAGCCAATAAACCAGCACTATGAGGGTGCAAGCAGGCCAGTTGAAGGAAACTTTGCATCTTCTTACACAATGCCCTACTTCCAGGCTTTCCTGTATCATTACAAAGTACGGATGTCAAGGCCGAGTGGACGATTCTTTGTTGTCTCCAACATGGCAACACCAAGTTGACCCAGAGAAAATCCACCGGGATGCCACCCTGGCATCGGAAGCGTCCCATTTCTATCAACGTCCCAACACGCAATTTACCCTCCGGCGCTGCTTTTCCCCGACTGGATTTTAAGAATTGGGCCCTCGGCAGCGTCTCCATATCAAATCTTCCCTCAGCTCCGCTTCCTAGCTGGGACGTTGTCATAAACCTTCATTGCTGAATGCAGTCACGAACTTTCCTCCTAGTTGACAGCCCAGCCACCAATGGCTTGAATTTTTTGACGAGACGAGACTACGGCCGCGAAACGTCCCGGCCCCAGGGTCCAGACTTCAGATCCAAGAGCTTGATCGGCTCGAATGAAAAAAAAAACGCCCCTTTCTCTACTTGGTCTATAGGGGTAAGTTTAAACTCCTTACCAGGTAGCGTGGGTCTGGCCAGGGTAGAGCAGTGACTCTCAATGGCCAAATTTGTGTTCGACGTGCACAAGAATCTCGAAAGTAATGCTGCTGATGTAATCTCGAAAAGCACGGGCGAAGATACCTGACAGGGGGGTTAAACTTTGGCCTGATACCGTAGTAGTCAGAGATCCTTGCTCAGAGGAGTCCCTGGATTTAGTCCTATGTCGGAACGGGCACAGCCAACCGCTCTTGTCACAGAAATCTCTCAGTTTTTTGCTTTTAAACGTCTGTTCGACTAGGCTGGAAGACACCCCACTCGTAGATCGGCCCGTGACACCAGCGACCTTGAGCCACGAAGCCATATTCATGTTGTGAGTGCGGGTCTAGGGAGGACTTCCAAACGCAAGGGACAGGCCAGCTTGACCAGCGTCTTGCGCAAGGGGGATTCGTCAACAGCAATGGGAAGAAACGCCTAGAATAGGTGTCGCTAAGCAACTTCTGCTCGCAAAGCCCGATTGGAAGACTCTTCAAGAACTCGCAACTCTTTGGCTGACCGGGATTCCGCAGCTTGATGCCAATGCCCGAGCTCGTCTTCAACAGGGACCTACCTACCTTTGTCGGAGCCGCTCTTCGGTCGCGACTCGACAGCCCGTGCCTACCGCAACCTCATGTGACACAAACAACGTCGTGTCCTTCCTCTACGATAAGATGCAGAGCTGACAGATGCTGGCAAGTTGGGTCGTCGCCTCACTCCTACCGTCAAGCCCGCTTTCGAGACAAGTCAGTTTACAATGGAAGCGGTCTAGTCACTTTGGTGGTCTCAGGTCATCGTCGACCACACGATGGGCAGTTCTTTGGGCATACCCTCACCCAATCCCGACTCTGACCTCTCATCAATGGACGATTTTCCGATGGATTTTCATCAGCAGCTTTACCGTTTCCGGGATTCTCATTCGATCACAGGGCAGACCCGCTCCAGTACGGAAACATCGCACTGGTGACTGAGACAATACCTCCGGACGCCGTACTCACGCTTCCGGATGCAAGTCGACGGTCGCCAAAGTATCTAGGTAGCTCGACCTGAGAGGGGCAAGCTCATCCAATTGACCGTCGTCAGTGAGAAGATACCAGAAATCATGAGGGCTGGTGATTGGCCATGGCGGCATCAGCCAATACACAAGCACTAGTTATGGCAGTGCCGTCAAGCGAAGGTACGCCACAGTCTCGATTGATTGCTTTTCCGACTTCGGTGTGGACACCGCCTCTGCCACCTCCCTCACAGGTCAAATGATTTAGCCAGTTCGTGAGCCACCCAATGGCGCCGATTTTGGGTGAGCCCTTCGTAAGCTGTCGACAAGAGGCCAAGCAGGTGTAAAAGTGCTGCAAAATACTTCAGGAAAGAGACCCATGGCACACTTTACACAGCGGCTAACAACATGATGTCCTCCGAGGTATCTCGTGGCGAAAGTCACCGCGGCTGTACTGTTGTGCATCCGATAAAGATGGGGTTTCCAATACCTACTGCTAGACTTGAGACCTGCATAGTAGGTGTTGCGCGAGGCAACCAGCATCTAGAGGAAAAAGCAATGACTACGAGGCATGATAACTTGGCCATCGTGTCATGCAACTTTTCGAGCGTGGGCATTACTTACTTCTGTCCGCGACTCGCGAGTTCGAGGCGATATTTCCTGTCCACTGTATCCGCAATGTCAACTGCCAATCACTTGAAACGCGTACTGGCCCTGTCAATATTCTTCCCCATGACAGAAAAGGGAAAAATGACTTCGTAGTAGTCAACGACAGCAAACCAGCTTGGCGGAGGTCGCTAGCCGAGTCTTGCAGCTGTTCATCGCCTTTCTTCCCGCCCAAGGTACTCAAAGAGTACTTGCTCCTAGACTTGATGCGACGTTGGTCCCGAAGCAATTGGCATTGCGCTCTACATAACCAGATCATCTGCCGTCAATTATTGCATATGGTCCACGGATGGATCGACAAGTTTACAAGACTGCGATGCGGCTAAGCATCAATGCCATATCACCAAACACGATTGTCTATCCAGGCAAGCCAGGCTCCATAAGCTTCTATCCCGCGTGACAGGCATTACAAATTCTTCAGCTCGTCTCCTCTTCAGCTTACACAAATACTACCACGGTTTCGGTCGTCCAAGGTTTTTCGCGTCCTTGCGGGCGGCCGTAACATATAGTAGTCGTACTGTGTGTCCAGAGCATATTGGCTGTTCCCGTATCACGGAGGATGAGCCTATTAAGTTCTTCCCACACTTTCGTTAATCCGATCTCTTGTCACATCTTGTCGGGTTAACCATGAACGGCTAGATTTCCCCATTCAATCACAGATGTCGCCAGCCGTAGGAAGTACATAATCGGGCCATCAGACAGCCACACCCTCCCGAGCAAGCCACACGATCTCATCGCCAATCACTACCGAAGGCACATCACCGTTCTCGGCACCTTTCGACACTCTGTGACGCACGGGTAGCAGCGATCTCGGGCCATCACTTTTGATTTGGATTGGCAATATCGGAAGCAAATCACCTCCAACCCTGAAAGCCACGAGCTCTGCTGTAGCTTCCCGCTCTCGTCGATCGTCTATCGGCCAAGCCCCCAGAAGAGAGACATCAAACGTGTTTCTTCTAAGCTTATTAGCAGGAAAACGATTCCTCGCAAAAGAAAAAACCATAGCAGGATGTGTGTGTACCTACCAGCCTTCGAGTCAGAAAGTCGCCTCTCCGTGCCGGATGACGACGAATGCCTATGTCGGTGGCGGCAGGCCTCCATCACCGCGCAGAGCTGGTGATGCAAGGGGTGCAGCAAGCTCTCGCCCACATCGTGCTCACAACGTGGGATCACGACCGGGGTCCGGGAACGTTCCGGTCCAGATACCCTAATGCTCGAGATGTAGCTCCAGCATTGAACACCGGCGAGACCGGCTTCCCCGTCGTGCAGCTTCCGGAAATGCATGACGGCGCGGCCCCTCCCAATGGTGTCCATCTGCTTGCAGACATTTGCAGCAGCAGGACCTTCACACTGTCGGTGCAGGTACGCTGCGGCCGATGCGGCCGGGGATACTGAGCGTCTGCTTCCGACTGCGGTGAGTAGTCGGTCCTGAGGTCTGGGCCCTTTCGCTGTCGACTTAGTGCTCTTCCCGTCGAAGCCTTTCCGGAATCTTCCATCACCTAGCGGAGGTTCACGGACGTACGGCTCTTGGAGCATGACGGCCGTACTAACAAGCCACAGGCTATTTCCGTCGCCTAGTCGGAAAGCAACCTGACTAATATCTCGATTCTGGACGGGAGTCTCTATCCGGCATATAAACGGTTGAAGGTAGCCAAGATCTCGAGATCTAGGACGTCGAGTCGAGCCTACGAGGTTGCTGCCGGGGGAAAAGCGATCTCCATTCTTGGTATCACAGAGGTAGACGTGCTCCAAGCGGATCTCGTATCCATGTTCTCTCACTCGTGGAACCGACAAGCTGGGACGGCTAGTAAGCAACGACCTCTAGAAGCTACGACACGCGAACACGCGACATGCGACACCAATTGAACAGAAAAATGTCTTCATCTCCACGCGGGTTCCAGCCCCAGACATACGCAAAACCATTGACCCATCGCTCCCCTCCTACACATGGAGGGAGTGCGTAGTCGACGACCGAAGCGACCCAAGCTGAGACAAAAATGGAAAAGTTTGTGCAGTGGTAACCGTTCCAACGGGCGCGTGCTCTGGGATGGAGTAAGTAAGTCAGTAAGAGAGACAATGTAATCTTGCGCGGATGCTGTGACAGGGAGGCGGGTGAGAGAAAGTTGTGGAAATGAAAGTGACAACGTTTTAATATACCCCCGGTGCCCCGGCGCCGCGGCCGTTGATGGCGAGTTACGCAGGGAGAGAAAGCTTTAGATGATGGGATAGATGCAAAGGGATGATCTATCCGATTTAAATCCTGGAAACCACGTTTGAACGTTTGGACCTCCTTGTCTTGCCATACAGAAGGAAATCGTTTTGTTTTTCCTTTCCCTCTCCCACGTTTTATTGTTGAACTTGCAGGAACTATCGAGCGTTGCGCTGTGCTCGGCAGGGACTCGGGCAAGGGAGTGGGAGGGATGGGGAAGAAGGAGTCAACTGTCTCTCACATCTTTAAGCGATACCGACCATGGATTTCACCATTTGCTAGTCCGGTCTTGCTCGATAACCGACGTTTCGTTTCATCCTGGAAGCTATTAGTTTAGGCGTGCCAGGTAAAGCATTCTGGTGTCTGACTGACGCCCGAGGCGAGCGGAGTTTTCATCGCTAAGATCACAAGTTGACGTACGCAGCTTTGACGGCATGTTTCGATCTTGCGCTTACCAGACCTTTGAGAATGTGACGAACGTTAAACTACGTACGTCGACTGCTGGCTTAACGAGCGAGATGTAAAGTCGTGTTGAGTACTCGATATTGGGGTGGTGTATGAGTATCGTGTTATTTGTGGTCGTGGTACTTGCTCGATTATAGAGCTTCCGTCAGCCATGTGAATCGATGATACATGTGTGATTGGTGGTAACCTTGCCGATGCTGGGATGAGTATATGCGTCTAAGGCCGGTTCTCCAGGTGGGCGTACTTTACCTCGTTGCTGTTCCCTTCGTCCTCACATTGTACTTTGGGGTTGGGTGCGATGGAGAAGTGACTCGAGTTGCTTTCCTGATGATTTTCTACCTGATGGTAGAGGGATTGGATCAAAGAGGTGCTATGATTTCATTGCCCTTCCCCGTGTGAAGCCTCTTCTTTGACCAATTGGCCGCTTATCAACCTGTGTAAATCAACAACCATCTTCAACCATGGCAATCAAGTCCTCAACGCAAGATGTTATACGTGTAGACTCTTCGAGACAGCAATGTGGTAAATCACTCACAGATCTCGGCGTAGACATCAAGCTGCTGTTGCTGGGCATTCTGTTCTATTGCATCCGCGTTCCACGAGCCGCAGGCCTAGAGCAAGGAAAATCGCCAATGTCTTTGGGGCGATGAACCGAGGTCATTAGTTCGTTGGGTGTTCCACGTGGGACTCGAGCATTTGAGCTTAGTGACCGGTTCTTAGTGGCATAAGGGATGATCTAGAGCAACTATGGGATATTTCTCCTGTCATTACAGTCTCGGGAATCATCATTGAAGACTTCACATTGCTATCTGACTATCTTTCCGTGCCCCCACTCCGAAGAACTACACAGAAGCCCTCGGCCACTTCGGAACAAAAGCTTGAGCAAACAACTACGAGACGGGTCAATGTACGATGGTTTGGTTGTGTTTGGTTGTAACTGTATCATTTGGATCTTCTCCTGCCTGCCTAACTCATCTGACGATTTCAGTCCAGCACCTAGACCAAAGTTGTCCAAGATGCGTTTACTTCCATATCTTCTTTCGCGTCTCACACCAACCGAATGCCGGCGACTCATGCTACCCACCCGAATAGCTAACCGCGAGGAAACATCAAGCTCAATGATATTGCCAAAGTGGTGAAGGCTGGTGTCTGTTCATCACCAGGTTCTAGACGTTGGCAAGAACCTTCTCCCAAATTGCCTTGCACGAAGCCTTGTGGATCTTGCGATGGGTCCTTTGACAGTCCTTTGGAAATATCAGCTTCATTCTTCCAAGAACCCCATCGAGCTTGAGTACTTACGATGCCGCAGTACCAGGCAGCCTAGAAATGGCCGCACTTCTTCAGGTTGATTCCGTGGTCTGCGTGAATCTTGCCGCAATGGAAGCAGCTAAGCCCAAGCTGTTAGTCGATGCCTCGTATGGACAATCCGGCTAGATTTACCTTGGCTCGTGAAAGTCTCGAGGCGTTCCCGGCTGATAGTTGTCGATTACAGCAAGTAATTGCGCTTTTCCGTGGTCACGGAAACCACAGTCCATCATCGGCAAGGCAAAGCGATATTGGCAAGGTATCTTGGGAACGGGGTCGCGTAGATGCTGCATGTCGTCTGCCTCGATCTAGGCTCCAGCACGCATCATCAAGGCGCCGCCCACAATGGTTCGGCACTGGCCTTGATGCTCGTGTTCGAGGGCTCGATACTTCTTGAAGAGTTCGTCACCGACTCCGGGGTCAAGCCGTCCTCGGATTTCGGTGATGAAACCGCGGAGGAATTGTGCATGTTCCTCAGTTTTATAGAACTCTCTCGTCTGCTCAGGAGCAACCATGTCGGTCTAATTGATCATGAGATAGAGATCAAGCTTCTCAGGACCATCGCCGAAAGTTATTCTGATGGCGGCGACAATGTCAAGATCCTCGTCGCTCTCGAAAAGACCTGATGTATCATTGTTCCGCAGAGAATAAGAGAGGGGAGGGCAGGACAGCATACGGAATCCCCAACGACCCATGTTTAGGTTAGAAGGTCTTTCTGGAAGGACGAATAGACCAACGATTTGAGATCCTGAAGATGACCAGGCCGTAGGACGTGATGATTCAGGTGCGAGAAGGTCCTCGCAAACAAGAAATTACAAGGTGGGAGCGAAAGGAAATGGAGTGAAGTCGGCAAACTCTGAGACGACGTGGAAGAGTTGAAGTAGGCAGGTAGGGAGGTACCTCATGTAGACGATGGGATCACGCATCTGCCGTTTGCAAAACAGGCAGGGGCAACGACCGCTCCTTCACCAAACATCTAGCTAGGAAGGGGCAAACGTTACTCTGAGGCAGTCGCATGAGATAAGCGTCAACACGTAGAGAAGACCAAAAAAGAGTTCACCCCCCCGGTGCTGGACTGGGGGCTACATCTCTTGGTGCTCATGCTGGGATTCGAACTTGGGTACTCTCGTATGCGCTGAGCCTGTCGTCGAGTAGGCTGGTTGGTGTAGAATTCAATTGTTGACCATTAACCACTCCACCACCCAGCCAGTTTGACCTGACACGTCGACCTAGACGGGCGCCTCCTGGCTGGTGACAGGAATGGACTTGGAGGGGTATATATGGGCTTTCTGGGTATTCAGGTGGAAGGCACAGTCAACACTCACCCGCTCCTTCCAACCCGGACTACCTACTTTGCCTACCTTACCCGAACTAAGGTAGATAGACGCCATGGCCCTCTCGCAAAGGTTGCGTCACGGGGAATATCTCGCAGCATGTGTAGGAATGAGAATGCAAATCATTGACTTTCAAGGCTTGCCGAGAGCAAACGTAGTCTCATTCATGTGTAAGTTTCCAATTGGTCATGGGCGGTATTTGATCTCTGCACACGGATCTGCATGGGTTTGAGGATATGCCATCAAACAAACGGATGCTCCGGGAAGGGAGGCCCATCTGCAGTGTGCCGATGAACATGCCGTGCCCGTAAGGTAGATTCCGATCCCGCTTTTAAGTGCCCCCAGGTTTCCATCTATTTTCTTCTAAGTCTGTTCAAATATGCTCAACGCCATCCCCGACAGTTGTGCCAGATGGGAGCTGTTGCTAGGCTGTTTATGTTCAGCCAGCAATTGACTAAGTATCTGACCGTCTAAGAAGCTCAACGATCACCAAGACACCATTCTGCAGTCAGGAATCACATCAAAATCAACATGAAGAACCGAATTAGTGGTTGGGGGGATGGCAATGAGGTGGTACGTTGTGGTGAATATTGTGCTGCCTAGGTATTGATATAACAGCAATCGCCGGTTACTTATGCTCCTCCTCGAAGTGACTTGGAGAACTGTCGAATGAATCCATGCTGCCCATTTCTTTCCGCAAATCCAACGAGTATAGGTTGGCAAGTTGACCTATGACTTGTTCAGGGGTAGAGAGGCCGATTAACAACGTGCCTGTTCTGCCCGATTTCTTTTTTGTTCGTAATCTTGACATTCATCCCCAAACGCCAATGGTATCCGTGAACCATCCTCCAACTACAAAGCATGCGAGATATCGATATCTTTATCCGTAGCCTATCTTCGCGGGGGAGGGTTGAAGCCCGGGGCTCCGCCAGGAGGGCCGGGGTTGAAACCAGGAGGAGGGAAGGGGGCGTTTTGAGGGAAGCCCGGGGGCGGGAAGGCACCGGGGAAGCCCGGGGGAGGAGCTGTAAAGTGTGAGAAGCGCATTCGCGGGTCAGAGGGGTATGTGTACTCACCACCACGTCCACCAAAGGGCGGGGCACCAGGGAAACCAGGGAATCCGGGAGGAGCACCACCTCCAACGCCAGCAGCAGGGCCCTACGTCAAAAGTCAGCGTCCGAAGCTCATGAACAGAGAATAGTGGGGTACTAACGGCCAGTGATGGGGGAGCCGGGGCGGCGCCGCGGCCGGCGGGTCGCGCAACACCAGGACCAGCGGTGAGACCGGCCGAAATTCCGCCAGGCGCGCTCTTTCCAAGTCGTGCACTGGGGTCCGCGGGCGGCTCTGATTCCACTGACAGGGAGACAATGTGTGCGCCGCGGACAATCGTCAGGCCGAGGGTTCGCTTCTCCTCCTTCTCGATCGTTTGGCCGGAGCTGGAGCTAGCGCCAGGGGCGGCAGGCTTGTTCTGTCTGATCTTGACGCGTCTGAACTCTTCGGTATCGGCGAGGACGAGGTTCATGTGCTGTACAGATTGTCAGCATAATTGTAGAGACGCGATTGAGGGTAAAATTGGGTTGCGCACCTTGTCAAATGCAAGCATCTGTCCGGTCATCTGGCGGCCATCATTCAAGGTAACCCTCATGCGGTAGTTGATCTATTAAGTCGCGTCAGTCTGTACCCTGTGCAGTAGCCTGAATCGATCGTCGGGTAGTTCTCGAGGAAAATTACGTACGTAACCAGCCTAGAAATGAAGAACTTCGTGTCAGCCTGTATTGTCAACCTTGAAACTTTGAGAGAAAGGTCAGGAGTTGCTCACCATCTTGCCCTGTTTGTTCGACATCTTGGGTGATGTTTGTGTGAGGAGCTACTTTCGTAGCTGCTCTAAGTCTTCAAAAAATTGATGTTATGCTTGTTGCGAAGCCTGAGAGACTTCAGCGCGACTGTTGATGCTTGCGATAGGCAGAGCTTCAGCAGTCAGAGGATATGGAGACAAATTTCGGGAGGCTGAGGGAACCTTGGAAGGCTGAGGCCAAACGACGGGACCCTCCATGCTTGCAATCGGTACGTAGCTTGATGTGGCTGATGGGAGCATCTACTTGGGCTTCTGTGGCTCGTGGTTGTGGCTAAGAACACGGGTGAGTGCACCACTTCCAAGTGGGTCGTCACCCACCTTCCTTGCAAGGGCTCGCAAACCCCCCAAAACACAAAGTCTTTTTTTGCCAATTGGCGCCGAACTTTTTCCCACTTTGACAATCGACAATCGACACCAAACGCCCAGCCAGCCGTACCGCAGTACTAACCGCCAAAATGTCGTCCGAGAAGACCCAGAACCCCATGCGCGAGCTTCACATTCAGAAGCTCGTTCTCAACATCTCCGTCGGCGAGTCTGGTGACAGACTGACCCGTGCCGCCAAGGTGTTGGAGCAGCTGTCCGGTCAAACCCCCGTCTACAGTACGGCATCACCAAAAATTCCCACGACAAGAAACGATGAACTAACAGGACCCGACAGGCAAGGCCCGCTACACCGTCCGTACCTTCGGTATCCGCCGTAACGAAAAGATTGCTGTCCACGTCACCGTCCGTGGCCCCAAGGTACGACAATTTTGGCGGAATTCGAAACTGCGCAGGAAGGATGGTGGACTGACTTGATGATTACAGGCTGAGGAGATTCTCGAGCGTGGCCTCAAGGTCAAGGAGTACGAGCTCCGCAAGCGCAACTTCTCCGAGACCGGCAACTTCGGATTCGGTATCTCTGAGCACATTGATCTCGGCATCAAGTACGACCCCTCCATCGGTATCTACGGCATGGACTTCTACGTCTGCATGACCCGCAAGGGTGAGCGCGTCGGCACCCGCCGCCGCTGCAAGGGCCGCATCGGCTCTGGCCACCGCATCAAGCGTGACGAGACCGTCAAGTGGTTCAAGTCTCGCTTCGATGGCATTGTCCGATAAATGCTTTCATTTCCTGCGACGAACGAAAAAAGACACTGGGACGGCTTGGGTTAACGGTTGGCGAAAAATGGGAAACTGGCTTATAAGGCATGTACTTTCCAGCAGTTGTTCATACAACACGCTTGACTTGAGCAAAAATTCAGTCAAGCCGCGGCCTCAGAGACCGACCGGCGTCATGCCGGCTTACAACACAAGTTCCTTCTTACCGTGATGCTGCTCATGATTCTGTTTGGTGACGATGGCCCGCGATATGGAAGCGGCCTAGGCGTTGGTGGTTTAGCTAGTCTATTTTAGTCCAAATAAGCTACAATACTGTACTCACGGCCTAAGTCTCCCATCTCGCGTGAAGTGGTACGCCAATTTTCCTTGCCAAGATTTGACCTCACTTCTTGAGGCTGCACGTGACCAATGTTGCATTGAGATTCGATTTTGGCCTCAAGGCTCAACGGCGGGTAAGACTACGAGGCTGACGGCAGAAATGCGACTCGGATTTCACATTGCTCCGAGGCGGTCAGGCTCGGTGTTCCCGGCCGGATGGAGGCACCAAAGTCCCACAGCTTCAGTACGCCTTACGTATACGTGCACTGTGTCCTGTGCCTCTGGGCTCTCAATGAGTGCTTGAAGTCGGAGAGGTTGGCATTCCTCAAGAGAGTGGAATTGCACAGTGGAGAGCTTTGCACCAAAAATGCCGGGGAAGGGGGGACAACACTGGGAAGCTACCTGGACTAAGAGAACAGCGCATGCATGCAGATATGAGAATAGGTAAGGTCAAGGGATAATTGAAGTTATCATGATACCTAGACAATTACCGGGGCGATGGCTGAAAAGTCCCGGTATCGCAATGGATGGCGACAGCTATTTTATCGCAAACTCAATGGGTGCGGCGGAAAGCCAGACTGGCACCAATTTTTATGTTTTATTTTTTTTTTCACTCGGGCCCAGCTCCCCTTCCTTTCGGTTGAGATTAGATCGTCCTTCCCAGCGCGTTAAAGACCTGTCAATGTCAGAGCGTCTTTTCCCCCTGTCTTATGTAAGTCAGGCATTTCACGGGGTTACGGGGCCACGACGGGCACGTATGCGGTGGTCGGAAATTGTTAGGGAGATCTCGGGTTGGACTGAGGCAAAACTCGACGGCCCACCGTGATTGGCCGGCCAGCACAGCTTCGGCTCCACTGCTTCCTCACTCTCTTTTCCCTCCACTGGGCTTCTTCCAAAAAAGACTCGATTTGCACTCCTTCAAAGGCACCTTCATCAACCCCAATCTCCCCTCCACTCAATTGCATCTATTGCAATTGATTCTCCTTCGATCTAGACAGTGTCCAAGATCTTCTAATATGTT